TCAAAACGTTAATATTATAAATCAAGGTTTAACTTATAATGTCCCTATAATAAATTTAATTCATTTTATATGCGACTATCAAGTACAGATGTGCATGTGATAAGTGAAGGTACAATGAACTTGTTGAATCTTTTCTTAATAAACCGTTTATTGGCAAACATTTTAAATAAACGGTTTGTAAAAGTCTATCAAGCTCATTATCTCCACCTATAACACAATATTTTCGATATACTTAGGTACAAAGATTATCAGCTTCTGAGAGGTATTCTTCTGTTGTCTAATCACTAAGTAATCAAAGTACTTAGTGGTTAATTAAATTTATGAAAAGATATAAGATATGAAAACTATAAAATATAATAATAGATCATCATGCTATCTCATTTAAGAGTAAGATCAAAATTATACAGTACGAGGGATTTTTATGTCACTATTTTACGTATTTTAACAATTAAAAAATATATATAACAGTATATATTTTTGTATGGAAAATAGCAATGGAGATCTTTTAAGCCGCAGAGAGCAAAAAATGCCAATAGTATTTATTACATAACATACATAATGCATTCATGCACAGGTTTAGCAAAAGTCTTGCTTTTCTTTCTTTATTCAGTGCATTTTATCATACCGAAAATATTCAGTTGTTCTAGTCGAAAATCAGCACCAAAGTAAACATATACATTTTGAATATTGCAATAAGAATAATAACACAATCTGAATCATTAGTTTTGGCGAATGTCAATATTGTCGTTTAATTTTGCCACCATGCCTCGATGTTGTAGATCAAGGAAGAATTCAAAAGGTATAAAATTCTAGTTGCCGTTTTATATTTGGTCTCAGAAAGGTTACGGCAAATGGGGAATTATATATTTGGTAAACTCATATAATATAACGCGTTACTTTTTTGTGGTACGCGGGTTAAGTAGATTAGCACTGGAGCTAGACTTCACTCTTTTACCACTTTGCACAGTTTTGTAATCTCTCTGTAAAATTTTTTAAAACTTGAAAACTTTTTGTCTTTAAAAAAACAATTAATAAATAATTAATCTCCATAGCTATTATTCATACAGGTAAATACTGACCTAAAACTCCCTCGTACTGTACATAATTTTGCTCTGACTGTTACACTGAGATACTATGCTATCTATTATTATACAGGGTGTTTCAGAAAACATGTGCCATCTCTAGTGGGGAGATTCCTCACGTAAAAATAAGATTTATTTTTCATATCAACATAGGTCCGATTCTGCTTTGTTTCGTAGCTACAGGGTGTTAAAGTCTTAATAATCTTTCGATTTATTGTAATTTCCTTCCAAGTACTTTTAGTGATTCGAATCAAATTTTGAGGGTAAAATTTACTATGAGTACTACATATTTTAATGCTAAAAAAGTGTCGATAAATTCATCAAGGACGTGCATATGGGTTATCACTGGAGTATTAAAAAAAAACATGTGCGCTACTGACTTTTTTCTTTGGATATCAAAGTTGTGTAAGCCGTGAAATGCAAATTAAAAGTTATCTCTTGGTATTTTGTTGAATTCGGCCTCCTTGATGGGATAAACGCAATTTCATTAATCACATTTAATAAAATTAAAATAAAAATTAAATTAATAAATGATATATTTTACCTAATTTCTTATTAAATATTATTACTATTAGTTATTATTACTACTAGTCCAACCTACAGCAATTTCAAATGAAAAAATAAAGGTAGGACATTTCCCATATAAATTTACATATAAAATGAAAGCGATCTTCATTTCATAGCCATCGCTGACGCCATTTTTATTCGATCATACGGTATTTAAGATAATTACAAAAATCCTAATTTTAAAAAGTTTTAACATCCTCTAACTCTAAAACTATGCGTTTCCATACCCATGTTTATAGAAACTTTTTTTCATATTTTTTGATGAAAAATCAATGAGTACTTATTTAAAAGTTTCTCAAGTTTTTTTACTCTTCAAAATTATTTTTTTTAAAGGTTGCTATTAGACATGGATTAAGGCAAATTAATAAAATTGCGTTTCAAGAAACCGAAATCGACAAAATATCAAGAGACAACTTTTAATCGGCATTCTATTATCTGCTTACACTATTTCACTAACAAGAAAAAAAAGTCAGTGGCGTACATACTTTTTTCAGAAAAATATTCCAGTGATAACCCATATGCACGTCACTGGTGAATATGTCGTCACTTTTTAGCTTTAAAATATGTCGCATTTATAGTAACTTTTACCCTCAAAATTTCATTTAAAACGCTAAAGGTACTTGGAAAAAAATTATAATAAATCGAAAAAAATATTAAGAATTTCATATCCTGTAGCTACGAAACAAAGCAAAATCGGGCCTATGTTGATACGAGAAGTAAATCGTATTTTTACGTGAGGAATCTCCCCACGAGAGACGGCACATGTTTTTTGAAACAACCTGTATTTTATATTTTTTATCATTATTAAAAGCTGGCTTTTGCAAACTACACCGCAAAAAATGGCATTTATGAGAGGAAATTATATATTTTAACCCTAAAATCCATAATTACCAATTATTTAAAACCGTTTTAATTCTTTGTAGTGTCTATCAGAAGCGATAACCACACAAGGAGCACATAGCTTAGAATAATGGGAAAAAAGTAGACTAACCCCAGAACACTTTTCATCTGTCTAGACGGGCAGAACCCTGGCACAGATCTCCGCACCCCTGTCGACTCCTGGGGGAAATTTAAATTCTTCACCGGAGATGTCGGTGAATTCGTTCTTCCGCCCCCGTTTCACCCTACCGAAACAAATGACCGCTGTCGATGCCGCTAGCTTCGATCCTCCAGGTGGAAAGTCCTGAATATCCCCGTGGAATTATTTAGATCGCGGAATCCTGTACAGGGTGTAACTCCTTCTGCATACTATTGATGTACTTACTGAAACGTAAACTTAAAAATAGTATATTATTTTGTAAATACTTATCGGATTCTGATGCTTTCGAGATTTTCAGTGGCATTTTACTTCAGCAAAAACTTTTAATATTTCAAAAGTACGTATATCAGAAAATACATATTTAGCAAAAAAAACATAAACGCTCGAAATCATTTTGGTCTTATCTCATAAGGATACGATTAAGTTGTATTTGTTAAGTTTAATTATGACATTATTGATGAACTCATAGTTCATCAAAACATCAACGACTAAACAAACTACCCATAAAAAGCTGTTATTTTTTTGTTGGGTAAGCAAATTTAATATTATAAGCGAACAAACTAAAATGAAAAGGCTTATGCCATAATATGTCGTATCATTATCATTTTCAGCTTTAGCCGGTCCTACACGATGCTTCCAATGTTGGAACCAACATTGGACGCATCATTTGGCATAGGCTTCGACAATATTGCAATTCAAAAGTGTGTCTCCTACACGATGTGGCAAATGTTCATGTGTCCAACATTGGAAGGTGTTTGACACATCGTGTGGGACCGGCTTTATTAAACCATTTCCAATTATCGTGTAGTCTCCATCACATATTTAGATATTCTCTTTGTAGTTGGGCACATTGGTTGTCTTTTTTGGCTATGCGGGCCTAAGCGTTCCCTGCTAATTTCCTAATATTGTAGCGTTTTTTAAACAACTACTACTGCGAACGGCAGCTTTTCATCGGAGAGCAGTCGTGGATAAGGTATTTCACTGGAAAGAAAACTAATTAATAACAATAAACAAAAAAAAATAGATATTGAACGCCAGGCATGCACAGAGAAAGAAAACACAGTTGTATATTACTTAAAACTAATGACTATATTTATTCATGATGAATTTTGATGGTAAATAGCATTCTACAATTTTAATAATTATTATAGTGGTTATATGTCGAGTAAAGCTATGTTAGAAATAATATTAAATATATTCAATGAAAAGACTATAAAAAAATACCACACATGTAAAGTTATAGTAAATGTATAAAAGGTAGCATCACTTTAATTAATTTGATATAAGTATTTTATATGATGTTAAATCGAAGGTGTTGCAACCCGTAGATTCTAGAATCTATGTCTGGTTATTCATCTGTTAACACAGCGCAATAATATCATATATTAATAGAAAGTAGTACTATTACAAGACGTAATGTAATGAAACCTAATATCTAAATCATATTGTATCTACTAAATCGACATAAATGTTCTTATCTAACCACTAAACATAGTCTGTACGATATTATTTAAAATGTACGTTATTATGTTAAGACTGAAAATCGACTGAAAACCAGAACCTAAATCTACACTTAGCTGTTCTTGAGGCTATCCTGTTTCAAAGAGTAGCAGCGTGAGGTGGGCTCATATCTCTGTACTATCTGTCGGCTATCCTGTTGGCCAATACAACAAAAAAGGCCAGAATGAGGACACCATGAATCAATACAGCCGTAACTATTGACTAGGCTTAGAAATGGGAAGGAAGCAGCATGGGACCAAGCCAAATCCACGCTGGGGCATTCTATGTATAAGGTAAACCATCCCTACTGTAACGAAGTTACTATTTTTTTTATATGTTTAATTAACTTTTTCAATTTTCCGCCGATTACGAATTTTATTTAGTTAATTTATCTTTCTACTCTTCCATACATTAGAAAATTTTGATTCTTTTTCGAGAAGATAGTACTTTTTATATAAAATTTTATTTGTTGAATTAACATACGAACCGAACTCATTAATTAGCTTAAAACGCGCTAATTAATAATTGAACGCATTCCATGCGCTCGATACAGCCCGCTTGGTACCGCTAGTACTAGATTGGCGTATCGAGACGCGCACCCGGCTCGGCGCACGCCGCCACCACGACGGTTTTCAACTGGAGGGAAGGACTGGGGAAAATAAGAAGCGACGCGCTAGCCAGAGAAGAGGAGTTCCTACACCACCACCACCGACAGTACTAGCACCAGCTCCAGCACCAGCACCAGCAGTCACAGTCGCCGCAGTCCGCCCCGCAGAAGCCAGCACCGAGACACCGCCACCGCCTAGCAGTTGGGAAGCCTGCCCGTCCTCTGTTTTATTGAATTCACCGTCGCTCAGAAACCGCCCGCAAGGTAACCTTCAGGATTAGTTTGGTATAGTATTGAGTATCGGAATTCATTGTTTATTTGGTTTTTAATTTTTTTTTTATTTTTTTTCAGAAAGGAATCCTGTACCGTGGCAAGGTCTAAATAGTTTAGAATAAATTCCAAAAGTAAAAAAAAAAATATATATTTTACATATCAATAGCAAATCTGTAAAATCAAACCCGCTTGAGTTATCAATAGAGACTTGGAAAAGCAAGTAAACTATGAGTGTGATAAATCCCGGTAGTTTGCTTCAAACTCTAAATTCCTTATTGAAATTTAATTAAAAATCATTAGGTCAGCTCTTAGATTTTTTTTAATCACTTAAAACATATTTGGGTTGTTAATGAGGACTAGGTAAAATAAGTAAGTTGTGAGTGCGAAAAATCCCGGCAAGTTGCTTCGAATTCCAGGTTCCTCATTGACTACTCAGATAAACTGTCTTTAGTTTTTTTTCTTTCCGAAAACCACCCGCAGTAAATCATTCTATCAGTTCTATTAATAAATAAGCGGCATATCTCTAGTGAAGATTAGGAACGTGGGAAATTTGTGAGTGCGATAAATCCCGGCAGGTTTCTTATACACCGATCCCTTCACTATAGATATTCTCGCTGAACTCTTATAGTTTTCCGCATTTCCTTTCCTTCGTAATTTAATTTTTTTTTATTTCTTTCCGTTGCCTTATTTAGACCTTAGCCCCGCCGTACTTTTAATGTTAAATAAATATTTTTTTTTAGTATTTTCTTATTCTCACCGACATACTTTTAAAAATAAATAGAATAATTATTAGAACAATTTCTTGTTAACTCCGAAACATTTTTAATTCAATTAAATAGGAATTACAACATTTTCTTATTGACACACCCGTATACGTTTAATATTTTGACTAAAACATTGAATAGAATATTTTCAATTCTTTACACTATCACCCTCAAATAAATTTTGTATTCCTTTTTCTTTTAATTTATTAGCAAGTGCTAACATTAATTATTTTTTTTTTATTTAAGAATAAATTATTTTTTTTATTATTAACTTGGGAGTGCCGTCCTTCCCCTAACAGTCTCTAGTTTTTATTAATATTCTTTTCTGTGTAGATTTGCTCCAACCCGGTGACGAGACTCTCCGCATCGGAGCCAATTTAAGCGCTAGGTGTCTCAACTAGCCACCTACACATCGCCTTGCCTTCCGCCCTGATTAAGAAGAAAGACATTTTTCTTTGAATCTAAAATAAACTTTTGACTTGTAAATAGTTTTGGGAAAACACGACCTGCTCTTTTATTTTATAACTACACACTATTGTTTAATTTATTTTTCCCCACCTCTGAGCTAAAAGAACTGCAACACTGCCATACTTCTCCACTGTTTAAAAGCTACCCGAACCGGCACTAGTGGGCCTCTAACCACTTATTAACTAGAGGTGGCGCCCGAGATCTTCTAAAAGCAACAATACAAGAAACTTAAGCGTCAGCAACGCAACTCAGAAAGAGCTTCGTTGCACTACATGGGACACTCGTCCACAGGACATCCGTACATAGGGTATCTAACCATAGGAAAACGGTATAGGGAAACACTACCCGTACCTTGGAACACTACTAGGACCTTGGATAATGCCCGTACCTTGGACCATAACCTTGGACTCAATACATATATATGGGACATCTGCCCATACCTTGGACAACGTCCGTAACTTGGATAATGCCCGTACCTTGGACCCTAAAAATACGACCCTAAAAATACGAAAACTTGTTTAAAACCAAACAAGATCTAATAAGCAAAATAAACCTACCTCGAATTACTTCCGAGGGCTCAATAATAAACAAAGAAACTGTCCTTTCTTCCATGTAACATTCTGCGGCACAAAAGAAAAGGAACGCTAACGTGACAGCAAAATACAAATACAAGTTAAGTTGGGACATCCAAAACTCTACCCTAAAAATATTCAATAATAATAACGAATGTAGCTTAGGTAAAGATAATATCTCATCTTTACCTGTAGCTTCGAAATAGCAGCTGATTCAGCTTTTGCAGCAAGATTTAAATTACCATTTCTAAAAGCAGGGTTTGCAACCGTGCCGCAAACCGGCCAAACCAAAAAGTGAGGTTAAAGCGCAGAGAGGCGCCTTGAAACGATCTTGACAGCTTTCCACAGAGCAGCCAAACTATAACAAGCGAGTCAAGTAAATTATCAGGCCTGAGCGATACGGAATCGGGTGATGATACGCCAGACATCATATATCATATACAAAAGACAAGTAACGAACTAAAAACCTTACAATATCATGATCTCATCTCAGGTTCGGTCTTCTTCTAGGTCTCTTAATTCCTCGTGGGTACCATGCTGTAATGTTTGTGGTCCAACTGTTTTTTTCTTGCCAGGTGTCCTGCCCATTACCATTTGAGGGATTTGACTCTGTGGATGACATCTATTATGTGGCTCTTTTATCGTATCCCCACTCTATTCTATTATGGTCTTACACTTAATTATTCCCAGCACATTTCATTCCATTGAGCGTTGTGCGACCTGCAGTTTCCTTATGATGTCCGTTTTCAGCATCCAGATTTCGCATGTATAGATCATGACTGGTAGTACACATTGGTCGAATATTTTCTTCTTTAGATAGAGTGGCTTTATAGATTTGAATATGATTGAGTTTCTTCCATAAGTACTACATGCTAACTTAATTCTTCTGTTGATTTCTGGTAGTAGGGATACCGACCTTTGTATGAGTTGTCCCAAATATATATATTCTTCTACTATTTCCAGTGTTATTTATTAGAATGTCTTTTCTTTTCACTAATTCATTGTACATTACTTTAATTTTTGCTAAATTTATTTTGAGACCCACTTTATTGGGAGCTTTATTTAGTTCATTAATTAGTACTTGTAGAGCCCTTAGTTTCTTCGGGACTAATAATTATACTAATATTTTAATTTTTTATTTTGTTACATCTTTGCATACAAAGGAAAGTCTACTTTTATACTAAGGAAAATATATTTTCACTAGATGCGTTTCCATGATCGTACGTCTAAAATAAACTGATTAATATTATACAGGTTGTTAACTGGACAGTTACTTATAGGGGAACAGAATGGCAACGCTGCCTATTGAGAACACATGAACTCTAGGGTTTTCTGTCGAGTCATCCCGTCGCGTCGCGCGTCGTCTATCGACTAGCGGGCCAAGGTTGCCATATTTCAACCATAAAGCTCTAGCCGCGAATAATAAACAAATTAACAACCTGTATATTTACAAATAATATTGATATAAAGCCTATTTTGTTACTTGTTTTTAGCTTGTATTTTTAGATAGTCATTGTCAAACAATTTATTTCCTCTTACCGAAAGAAGAACATAGAGAGAAATATTTAATAAATTTACTATTTTTTTTAATTGATAAAACTGATTTTTACTGATATGCTGATGGACAGCTAGTTTATTAAAAAAAAAATAAACTACATATTTTATAAGTATTACGCAGTATTATGTTCTGGCAATTTTCAATATCTATTTTTTGAAAAGGCTAAATTTTGATATGAAGTAGTTATGTATGAATTCGTTAAATTTTAAAAAGAGAATCAATAAAATAGAAATAAGATGTGTAAAAATTCGCCAATCTTAATATTTTTAGTTTAATACTTCAACCAGAGACACCCTGTATATGTAGCGGAATACTTTAAGGGTGGATCGGGTGAAATATAGGCCTATTTTAAAACTGAATGTGAACTTGAATCGGACAAGACAAAGATATATTCTTAGTGATTTCGAAATGGTCGATAGGCGGCCACAACTGAGAAATAATGAATATGTCGATTTGGAGGCAAGTAAAATATTTACATTAAATTATTTAAACAAACGGTAACCGTACAGAGTATTCCAAATTTGGAGTTTATAACGGGCCAAATTATAGCAAATCTGCGCAATATTTTGTCCATTAAAATGAAATTTTGAAAATTAAATACTTCCGAGTAGGTACTTCCGAACGAGTCATTCCGAAATATAGAATTGGCCAGGACATGTGTCTAGGATGACAGATGGATGGTGGACAAAGCGACTTTTAGAATGGAGACGGAAACAGGAGGCCTATAGAAGTGGACCTACAGAGGACCACCTTCTAGTGGATAGACAGATGGTATTAAATAGCTGGAAATTAGATTCAAGTGGCACAAAATAGAAAGAGATGAGTTGAGGGAGGCTTTTGTTTAGCAGTGGACGGAATAAGCTAAATGATGATGATGATTTCCGAACTCAAAAAAATTATCGTAAAATCGTTTTTATCTTTTGCCATTATTTTAAAAGATATTTTAAAATAAATTATTAATTCCCATTGTCACATTTTTTCCTTTATAAGAGGGTGCTATTAAATGTCAATTTTGACGTAATGCTTTCAGAGAGCTTCACAAAAAAAAAACTTTCGAGTTGCAGTGATGTAGCCCGTAGCATCTTAATTTAACTATTGATTAATCACATTAATAATCACAACGGTTTTTAAGAAGTTTGGGTTTAAAAGTTGAGAATGCATTAATTTTAGCATTAGCAAAATGATGAAATGTAAAGACATTATAATATAAATTAATCTATCGTTACTTTGAATGTGGTAGACAATTATTCAGTATTAAAACAGTAGTTTTATTTAGTTTAGTTCACACATGATAACGGTCAGTGATAATTCTGACAGAAACGTTGTGTAAGCAAAAATAAATAAAGACAATGGAAATCCGAAACTCTTTTAGTCTTAATAAATTAATCTATGATTTCTCTAATACTAAAATCGGCGCATTGTCACCTTTAAACACAAATATCTTGAAAACTGTTCCTAACTTAACACTTTTTTTAACGTACAAAAGTCCTACCTTTTTATACCATTTATTGGAATTACTGTATCTACCGTGCTGGCAACTGTTACTTTTGGGTCGGTATTTACATGTGTGGAAGTAAATTGCATAAGGATTTTATTAAATCGGAGTGAGAGAAATGCGACGGTGTGCTGTTGCGGCGTTGCCGGTACGGCTTTCCCTATCAAGTAAAGTAAAATCACGATCGTAAACTGCTTATTTTTAAAAGATAACTAGATAAAATCATTAGATATGTTTCTGAACATCCGAAATGGAATTATAAGGGTATCGTTAGGGTATCCATTTTTTTATAACGAGAAAACGTTAGTAATCGCGATAATTTAAAAACTCAACTTTTTAACACATAACACGACATAACTTAAGAACCACTTTAGAAACTTTTTTTATTTTGAAGATCGGATCTTTTACAATGTGTTTAAATAAGAAACATTCGAAAGGTTGCTCTTTTCCATTCAAAAATTTTAAATTACCCATCCATTTACTTTTAGTGCATAGCAATTTTCAGCAATCGTGTAACATTTTTATTTATAAAGATTTTCACATCCTGTGTGCGAAGGAAATATAGCAGAAATAATAAGAAAGTTTAAAAAAAAACTACAATCAATTATTTCTAGTAGATTTCGAGATATTGATTTTTGTGATTTTTGCATTCAGAGTTCTAATAGCGCAATCACTGTCGAACACTAACTCAATTCCACTTATTTTTACCAAAAATGCAAGTGTTTCGAACTTGCACATAAAAATTTTTAAGCTATAGGGAAAATTACAACGACTCGTTAATAAATATACAAATAAAATATCACGAGACGTAATTAAACCGTGAGCTGAACTCATGATGTACCCCTTTCCCTAGAACTTTAAGTACTGACAGAGGTCTGCAGAGGTACTGATTGAGGCGACCGGTCAACTGCGAAAAATCTGCTATATCCCCTTCCACGTCTCTTAGCAATGTGTACAATTTCTCGGTTTATTTCATACGTTTGGCAACGTGCTTACTGTTCTCTCTTTGTTCAGTACATTATAAACGCATTGTACTCTTCTTACATACGGAAATCTCGACCCAAGACTAACCTTTGCCAGCCCTTAGTATAATGATAAAAAAGTACCACCAGTAGTACTCTCTACCCGAGGGGTGTCTCACTATTGGAATTACATGTACATTTTTTTGGCAGTCGCTGGCAGTCATTGGCAGTCTTATGGCAGTCGCCTATAATAATTACATGGCAGTCATAGGCAGTCTTCTTCGTAGTCATTGGCAGTCGCTTGACAGTGAAAGCTAATTTTGGCAGTACGTGTACATTTTTTACCCGAGTAAGACACCCCTCGTCTCTACCCTAATGAAAAGTATACTTTCAGAGCTTTGCTATTCACTTTGGCATTAAAATATATGTAAGAGTACCAAATTTCAAGAAAAAAGATTTATCAATGCTCTTGAAA